TAGACCATCATGTTTTTGACATGATGAGCTTAGAAGTTGAAGTTCATAAAACAGATAATATAAAGGCATGTGAAAGCTTTAATGAAACTATAGGGCCAGGGGGAAAAGTAGCCTCTAGACAGTTTTTGAGTGTTGAGTCCTATGATTCATGGAATTACAAAGAATCCAACAGCATTCTTTGGGATGGAGCCCAACTGGTAATCAGAAGCAAACTAATTCAATGCTTTGTGAAAACACAGTCAACAAAACAGAATGCAGAAGTAAGTCAATTAGAAAAAAGAAATGGCAGTATTAGAGAAGACGTAAAAACAGAATGAGACGATCATAGCTAGACTTGTATCAAATTTTAACTAGTAGGAATAACTAGTTAGGAAAGAACTTGTGACATGGGGAGAAAGTATTGTATATTCAGTTCCTATATATGTGTAATTTATTTCACATTTAAGAGTAAAAATAAGTCCCAAAGAGACATCTTATTCCAACTACGAGGTAGAAACCACTTCAGAAGAATTTTACAGTTTCCTGTTCTTACTGCCTTTGACAGCTTAAAGATTTTTTTCCTAAAGCAAACAATTCATTGGCAGAAACTGGAAAAATGTACACAGACACACAGACACGCACACGCATGCGCACACACACACACACACACACACACACACACACACACACACACTTTCTTCCCGACATGCATGTATCAAAACTTACCACCGCTGGCAAGACCAGTCTGCAAGTATGACATCAGAGCATCGCTTTATTCTGAACCTACAGAAAGGCTACTCCTAAGAGTAGTCGAGGCCCCCAAATGACTGGTCTTTTCTAGTTGAAACTTCCAACTCTTTGGCCTATCCGCTGCTATTGTCCATAGCTGCCCCCTCCCCTGTCAGCAGGAATGTCTGGGGTCACATGTAAAGTTTAGGTATTATGTGCCAACTGGGGTCACTGCCTTCAGCTAAGCATCTGCCGTCATCTCCGCATCCGGCTCTGGCTGCCAGCGTCTATGCAGCATAGATCCTACAGAACCACTGGGTAGTGCTGATACAAGAAAGCCTTCTGAGGGCTTAGGGGTTGCCTGTGGTGCCGTTGGGTGGCACGAGTTAATCCTCATGAAATTGTCCAAAGACCAGTACATACCGTATTTCTTAGTGTCTAACTAAACAGTAGAGTTAGGCCTCCATTTGGACATGAGGCTTAGGGTGATTCTGGCCCCATGGCCCAGTAGCTCTTGGTTTCCTCAATTTCAGTGTCCATTTTTGTCTGGAATGACTTCCCTGTATATATGTCACGCACAACTTTGAGCTCTGTGATCCTGGTAAACTTTTTGTATCCATGTGGGATTCCAACGAGCTTAGAACTTGCAATGCATGCTGTAAGAGCCTTTCAGACTGGTAGAAAGTCGTAGATAAAATTCAAAGTCTGTGAATGAGAAATGCAGCACAAATGCGGAGTTGAATATTTGCAACATGACCGTGAAGACTACAGGAGTTAGCTGTCTGACCCTTGGCTGAAAAATGTTTGCCAACCCCTGTTCTAGACTGTACACGGTCCTATTTTGTGATGCCCCCAGGGAAATCAGTTAGGCATTTTTGTGCATGGTAGCTTGCTTGGTGGACATGGTGATTCTCGATGCGGACAGCTACTGTTTCAATGAGCAAACGGAACGTGGGTGCACAGTTGCGTGTGTGCGTGTGATCGCGTCTATACATCTGTATCTACCTGTAAATCTGATGCACTCACAGATCTTCTAGAAGGACACAGGTTATAGAGGGGGTGTTTGCCTGGCCACCAAGGTGGTGTGGTTAGGATGACTCCCTAATGCTTTCTCCCCAGGATGGGGTAAACCCATCTGGCAGGGAAAGCGTCCCCAAGAGTGAGATCTTCATCCCAGCCCCTGAACGCTTTCCTTCGGCCCCTGACTCCTGTCCCCAGTCTCTTTCGCTGTGGACCCCCACGGGTTCCCACGTGCTTGCTGTCTGCACCCGGACTTCCTCTGCACGGCCCTCATTCCCAAAGATTAGAGTACAAGCCTTGCCTCCCTCCCTGGGAGAAGTTCGCTGCTCCTGGATCCAGCGCGCAGTGGTCTCTTGGGGGCGCCTGCGGTGTGCATCTCTGGGGTGAGCAGCGCCCCGACCCTTTCATGGGTGGGAGACCTGACGAGCGTGTAAGGAGCCGCTCCACAGCTGCTTGGCCACACGTCAGGGTTGCACTGGAGCTCTCGCCAGGAAGGGTCCTGCCTGTCGCTGTGTTTACTGCGCCGTCCAGTTGCCCACTGGCGCGTCCCGGTCAGTACTGGTCTCCTTGCGAGGTGGCGGTCTTTCAGACCTTCCCTCCACACGTGTTGGTCTGCTGTCCCCGGGAGGGCGCACTTTCTCAGGACCCTTTAGGGACCTGGAGGAAATGGTTTCTGGAAAATGAGATTTTTTCTTCCCAAAATGGCAAATACGCTTCCTCTATGTTCCATTCCGTTTCTACTTCAGAACATCCCCGATCTATCTGTAAAATATGGATTCCTACCTACATCAAGAGGCCGTATGCTTTCCAACCCCAGAGCACATTTTAAATCCCTTAATGTATATTCTTTCCTCCATGTATGGAACAGACATACTCTCTCCTTCTCGCTCTCCCTTTCTGTCTGTCTGTCTCTCTCTCTGTTTTCCTCCCCACCCCTTCTTTTTCCCTTTCCCACCTTAAATTCCTAAAGTGAGGGTCAAGAATATCTGGTCTCACATCTCCCACCATCACATTTCCTACCAATGTTAGACAAATCAATTCATTGTTTTTAATAACCTCAAGATTAAATCTCAGCTCTATGCCTTGCCAAATTCTTACGTTTTGCTGAGGCTGAAATGAGGAAACAAATTCATTCATCTGCTATCCAGTCAGCCTTTATTTTCTCCTGAGCCTCCATTTCGTTCATCCAAATCTTAGATCTCTTCCTTCTCTTTTGTCTGGTTTGTGCTAGCGTAATCTCAGTGCTTGTCGTCTGTCCCCTGTTGGTGACACTGTCTTCCTTATGTCCTCTCCTAGTCTTCCTGGCCACCATTGACGTCCTTCCCTCCTGCTGCCCCATCCAAAGCCCCCACAGTTGACTTCCCTTTCTCATACGCCCACGCTTCCAAAACTTTCTCAAAGCTTGCCTCATTTTGTGGCTAAACTACCTAGTCCTTTGTGATATAGACAACTTCTGTTACTCACCTCTAGAAAGAGGAAATACTTCCAAATTGACCGCCTGGAACTGGCTAGCACAATGGTTTGCTGACATCTAGTCAGCTCCCAGTAAATGTTGGTTGAACAACAAGGGAAGGAACGGACTCTCCTAATCTTAGCCTACCAGTGGAAGTAAAGTGAGTTTTCCTTAGTCACAGGTGTATTCTTTCCTCACATGTGAAATGCATATGAAAGCCTTCACCTTCTGCTACAGAGGGTATCAGAATCTTACCTTAGTCACAATATTTTTTTTTTTTTAAAGATTTTTTATTTATTTATTTGACAGACAGAGATCACAAGCAGGCAGAGAGGCAGGCAGAGAGAGAGGAGGAAGCAGGCTCCCTGCCGAGCAGAGAGCCCGATGCGGGGCTTGATCCCAGGACCCTGAGATCATGACCTGAGCCGAAGGCAGCGGCTTAACCCACTGAGCCACCCAGGCGCCCCAGTCACAATATTTTTATTTTAAATCTACCATCTTTGCCGTACACGTGCAACTTTGTAATTGATCCCAGAAACACCTAGAGACATTGACGGTGTCCCCGAGATTGCCTGTACCGTGTCCAGCGTAGGGCGTAGCCACAAGGACAAAGTATGGAGCATGCAAATGTTTATTTACTCACAGTGTTAGCAGTCAATGACATGTTGATCATGGTGGGTTTTTATTTTTAGCATCCCGAGTAATCAAATGTATTCATTCAGATTAAGCAGAAACGTTCAAAGGAAGACCTTTGTATTAAGGAAGTCGCCATATTTGCAGTTAAATAGCAACCAAAAGAGTTTCTTTTGAAGGCGACTTCCAAGTAGGTCTAGAGTTTGGTTTTAGCCGTTTTGTGTGACATTACTGATCGCTAATGGCAATAAGAATTTAGTCTCAAACAACGTCTTGAGATTTCTTCCAAAAACAAATGGAATGCTCACGTTTTCCAGGTATAGAGGAATGTTTAAGACTCAGCACTTGCCAGCTCGTTTCCAGGATTGATCTTAAGTGCTCTGAAGTGTTCATTTAAAGGAAACACGAATCTTAGTGTAACTTACACAGGATCTTTCAACTTCGAGCATTCTCTGTTTATAGTTCTAAAATAAGTAATACCAAAAATAGAGTCCCATTGATTTTGGTGGTTGTTGTCACTTGCATTCTTTAATTCAAGAAATTTTACATAATTTAAGCTGTGACTTTTATTTAGATTAACATAAGGTTCTGAGCCAAGTGATCAGGAGCAGCATCGAAAGAGCAGCTCAGTATTTATGATTTCGTATTTGTTGCCCACTGGGATGTAACTGTAAAGTAATGGGACAGTTTTTCCGAAAAACGCTCTAGGAGTTATGGATCCAGGAGGCCCTTGTCCCCTCGAAAGCAGTCACCTAGGGAAAGCTGCACATTTGTTCCAGTCTTGCTGCGGTAGCGTAAAATGTTGTGGCATGTTTCTTTTTAAACTGCCACTGAACTGCTGGGAAATAATAGAGTAAAATGACATATTATTTTAAATATCCTGGGATCGTGGCCGAGGTGAATTTGATTTTGATGAGTAATCAGAAATCATCCCAGGGTCAAGGAAAATCAGTACAATTTGGAGTGTTATTTGCAGTCCCAATTGGGTATAAAATAACAAAATGGGCTTTCTTGAATGGTACATAAGCTAACTCTTGAAATTGATTGTTAAAGAGGCATTCAAGAACTTTGGACCTTGGAATAAATGTCTAAGCTCCCAAGGTAGCTACTAAGAAGAACAATACGTGTGTAGGTTTAAAAAAAAAAAAAATGTTTGCAAAATAAGATCAGTTTTATTACTTTGTAGACATACCTTGTAGATGAAAAAAATACTCCTATCATGGAACTCTTTATAAGCAAACTTCTGAAGTAAGTAGAATTTCTGTCTCTCTCTTTCTAAGCCTCTTGAGAACTCTGAATTTCTATAATGACTTATTCTGAATCTTCAGCTTTTAAAATAGTAATGTTCTCCATTTAAAAAGTGGATACTTTCAGGTTTCTCCTCACCTTTTTCTGATCAACTTGGTTACCTCTGCTATTCCTTTTTTTTTTTTTTTTTTTTTTAGAGGATCCATCTTTGTTCTCTCTGAGACTCTCAAAATCCATTTCCTCATGGTAAAAATATCATTAAGCTTTTGAACCAGAATAGAAAATAAAATCTAAGCTGAAGGTTATTAATTGTTCCACATTGTTTTAAGCTCTTTTTTGTTGCATTACTAATAAGCAGATGGTTTTCTTTTTTAAAACGGGACCCTGACATCTTAGTAAATAAGAACATCAAATTATTATACAAGAAGTCTCAAAGGCTTTTAAAAAATAAATACTTTGAATTTTGGCGTTCCCACTGTTTTTCATTTCCACTAGTGAAAGCTTTTAAAGAGAGAGTTCAGCCAAGCGGCTGGACCAAGTTCTGTCATGTGGCTGCCCCCCACCCAGCCCCAGGGGGGAACTTTTAGACTGCCCGTGGACGATGAAGCTGACAGGTCCTGCTTCACCAAATTTCCGAATTTATCCCACCACCTCCAACTTCTCCAGGCCAGCCAAGCCCCCATTTCCTCACTACTAAGTGGGAAATAATAATAAAAAGTAAAATGGAGTGTGGAAGACAGAGAAAATTGTTATCCTTTGCAAAGAGGTCAAGACAGCTAAATTGTGACACAATTTCAACTGTTCAAATTCGACAGGTTTGATTGGACAATTAGGTGACCCAGGTAGTTAGAGATCAAAACGGTCACTGGTTTACAGTTTTAAAAAGTCCTCCTCGTGTTTTTATCACAGACTCATAGAATATTATTTTATTCTATCTGGTAGTAACTGTTGCCCAAATGACTGTTGTTTTACAGTTTGGTGATTTAAATGCTGTGTCTCCTGGAAATCTGGATAAAGGTAAGAAGTGAAAATAATGCACATTTCTAAGGACTTCTTTGAGAAATTACCATAGGGGAAAATGTGGCATGTGTTATTCTGTGGAAATGGCCGATAACCCTATAGGAATAGGACAGTTATGTCTCTTGAAATCTTCGTTGTTTACTTCTCCGTTTCTGTGCCTTCTTTATGGGAAGGATGTTAAATGTAAGAATTGAATTTAAATGCAGCTACAAACTCTGCGTGACTCTTGCCCACAGTTCATTACAGGTAACAAGAAATTATTTCTGACCACCACCAGAGTCCTGGAGAAAAGTGATAAAATTTTACTAAAGGCCCATGGGGCAGGTGGAAAGATTTCTCAGGCCTGACCTTTTCACCAATGCATATTTTTCACTGGAAAAACAGCTCAGAGATAGCAAGGAAGTTTACCATAAAAAAGCAAGATCAGCAGTGGGACAGATGAAAAGGATCATCGGAACCCTTGTTAGATAAAGCCGGCATTGCCACTCAGCTAAGACGCCATTCAAATGTGTGTTCTGGAAGGAACTTAAGATCTACAGAACCACACAGTAAAAGGGGCAGGGCTCTGGGGAAATGAGGTTGGGGAAGAGCACATGCAGCAAAAACCACCCTCAGTTAAAACACGCAAACGAATATCAGCCGGTTAAAAAAAAAAAAAAAAAAGTAAAATGTTTAATAAACAAACACTGCAGGAAATATAGGCCTAAAACAAAACAAAAACCACCAAAACAAATAAACAAACAAAAAACCAAGAAAGTAAAGATATCCTGAGGTTCTAAGGAACCGAATTCTGGAGTCAAGGACAGAATGCCCACATGGGGGAAAACTGTACAATTAGCCTTTCCGGGACAGAGCCACAGCTAGCAGGGAAACGGGCCAGAGGAAGGGCTTGGGGAATCTGTATGTGAAGGGCAGCATGGTTCTCTGGAGCCTCCTGCACCAAGGTACTTGTGGCCAGCCTCCTTGTCTCCTCGATGGTGGAAAACGTGAACGTCCTGGTGGAAATCCTAAGGAATCCGTCTTACTCCCATGTTAAGCACCACTGTCCGTCTCTATGACCAGTGGTGCAGGCATTAATTCCTGTTTTAGTAATAGGCATCATAGCTGTGCAGGACGGGTTAGAAAATAATAGTCCAGAGACATTCCTCCGCAAATATATACTCTCTACGGCTAACCCTGTGACAAGAAGGTGAATTAGTGCTGATACTAGTTTGTAACTTCAGATCAAGGAAGGTGAGTGCTAAAACCCGTGGCCAACGTGAGGCAACCTTGCCTTGCACTGACCGAAGCCTGATGGGTCACACCTGAGGATTTCACCCCATGTGCCAAAGCACACAGGCATCTTCTGCTTGGCCACTAAATGGCTGCCAGGCCTCTCTGTGAAGTGCTGGACCAGAGCGAAGTCTTCAGTCAACTCCAGTAGCACCTAATTTTAGTTTCTGTGTGCCAGATTCCCATAACTTTGAGGATGTTTCTAGAAAATGTCCTTGAGTCTTTATGAGGGCATAAAATGTCTATGGAATTGCATTAATTGGCCCTTAGAACTGGAGAGAGGGCTTGCTCTTTGGTGGATTGCTTTGGAGCGTATCCATAGGAACCCCATCACCCACAAGTAGACGTGGAGAGAAGTGGCCTTGGAGCACTTAGGTTTGTTCAGCCTGTTATCCCATTGCCATTTCTACCAGGTGGATGAAAGGGGTCTCTCCACTCTCTTTGCTCACCTACTGGCTTGAAATTATTTTTTTTTCTTTTCAGTGCTCCTTTCTTATTATTTTGACACTATTTCTCAGGCACAGAGATGTTGATGGAGAGGGAGCCACGAAGCAATGTGATTTATCCTCACCTTGGGGTGGCCCCACTGGTCCCATTCACCCCCCAGACCTGGTGCTTCTGGAGATATGGCCAAACTGGCATAGTCAGGGCCTGAGGCTTGAAAGTGAAATCTTCAAGAATTCCTGTGGGCTTTTCCACAGAATGAAAATTTTCATTTTTTCCCCTGATAATAAAAGTCATTTCAGCTCTATATAAAAATTTCAAATAATACAGAGATTTAGAAACTATGACAAGTGAATCTTCATAGTCAGAACCCTAGGAGATAACCACCATTAAGAATTTAATGTGAGGATTATTCCAGTGTTTTTGTGTTTACATATAAGCAAATACAAAAACAGACCCAAAATGTGTCATACAAATATGTTTTGATTATACCGTCTTCACGAGGCAAATGTCTACCAGACGTACCCCTTTCCCTGCAGCCCATGTTCCCTCTGGATGTGCTTGTTCTAACAAACCCTATTATTATAAAGTCCATTCTCCAGAGGCGAAAAGGTAACAGGATAAAGTAGATGAGCCTCATCTAAGAGCACTTCTGTGTTATAATAATGTGTTACGTCCTTTCTAGTCAATAATGTGTTACATCCTTTCTAGTCAATAAATCTCTTGTCAGCCTTTTCAATCACAAGTCACGGTTCTCTGGAGATGCTGCTGCTGGCAATTACATGCTGCACAATGTGTGCAACCATGTGTGGAAGCCCCGTTCCTCCTCATCACTCTTCTCTGGAACCAGCTTTGCCCCAATAGTAAGATAACAATAATAAGGGACGAAAAGCCAAAGGGCCCATTTGTTAGCAGGGACTTCTGGAGGCATGTGCTCCACATGGTACAACTCTATTCAGCAGCTCTCAGAAAGAGTCCAACCTCCCTAAAGACTGAAGAGACTGAAGAGATACTTGTTAAACATTCACTGCATGTTCGTAAAGTCCAAATTTCCTAGTTAAGTATAGGTATAGTTGAGCAGCTAAACAATTTTTGTTTCAAATGAAAATTTAAACTGATCTTAAAAAAAAAAAACAGGAAAACATGTAGAAGGTGAAGTGAAAACTCTAGATTTTTAAGGCAGAAATCTATTCCCCACTGTTTAAAAATTATCACTGATGGGAAGGTGTTCTCCACACTCTTCCTAGGAGAACCTTGCATGTGGTAAGGCTGTGTGAGCATTTTCTCTCTCTACTGTACATTTGAATTTTAACGGTACGTGCTGGGGAAAAAAAAGAAAGAAACAGTAGTCCATTATAATGGTGTCTTGATTAGCATAAAATATGTTAAAATGTGAAGGTGACAATGACTATTTAATACATTTAAATTCCAGAAATGAATATCAGCTATTAACAGTGAGTGGCAGTGTTGCCAGGAATGGAAATCCATTGTACATTTTTACTCTGATAGTACTACCTCAGTCAGTATATTTTTAAGGGCCTATTTAATATTGTCATCTACAACATTAAAGGACACCGAAAAGTCACCCTTGTGTGTGCGTGTTGTAGTTATTTGTGAATCAACACTCTATAAACATGGGCACAGTTGGAATTGATACCCAGTGTAGATTTTGAAGGAAACGGAGAACTTTCCTCCCTCCTTCCCTTCCTGCCTTAGTATTTTTCAGCTCATTCCCCAAAAGCAGCATAGCCTACCCAAGTGACTACTTTAGGATGACTCAAATTAGCCAACTACTTAATCCAAAAACTTCAGGAAATCCCAGAAGTCTTCTTAAGAGAATTCTTAAAAGTATCACTCACAACCTAGCCGGGACTCAGTTACTGTTGCCACGTTGGAAAGGATTGCAGGTGCACTGATAGAGCGTTGGTACCGATGAAAGGCACGGAGCCGAGACTCTTCTGGTAACAGGGTCTTGGTGTCGTTTGTGCAGACGAAGGCAGCGAAGTGGAAAGCGAAATGGATGAAGAACTGGACGACTCTTCGGAACCCCAAGCCAAAAGAGAGAAGACCGAGCTGAACCAGGCGTTTCCGGTGGGCTGCATGCAGCCCGTGCTGGAGAGCGGGGTGCAGCCCAGCCTCCTGAACCCCATCCACAGCGAGCACATCGTCACGAGTACGCAGACTATCAGACAGTGCAGCGCCACCGGAAACACCTACACCGCGGTTTAAGGAATATTAAAGCGTATTTTTCCAGCTAACATTACCCCTGTTGATAGATTGGGCTTAAGTTGAAAATTGAATAAGCCTGAAGGTCGACTGTTGTCAAATTCTATCTGTGCTGAACATTACCTTTTTGGAGTTGTGAAATGGAATGGGTGTATGTATTTTGCCAGGTCTTTCTTTCTTTGTTTTTGTTTTTTTTTGTTTTTTTTTTTTTAACGTTAAAAAAAAATCATTTGCTTCTAAATAATAAGAGTTTTTTTTTTTCCTTCTTTAGTTTCAGGTGTCAAGAAGGATTTTTACCACACTTAATGCCAATGTTTTTGTTTTCTTATAATTAAAAAGTAATTTACATTTTTGTAGCTTAAAATATTTTATTGTTGATCGTTAGTCTTGGTGTATGATTTCATGTGTAAGTTTTTAATTAGATGCACTTCTGTGAAATATCAAAAGAAATGAATTTCTTTGATTTACACTGGAGGCATGCCCATTTGCCAGCAGATGCATCAGATTTGCTTTTGAAAGGTGCTTTGCATTGGACAGAACCACAAGACAGGATTTTGATAACACTTTGGTATGGAGAGAGAATACAGAGCATTTTTATTACAGTGCTAGAGGGTTGGGAAGGTCATCTCTTTTTCTCGGGAGAAAAATTGAGCTGTGCATTTATCCGTTCGGAGTAAATGACAGAACTGCAAGAGATTATGCTAATATGTACATAATTTGTGTACATAATTATTAAACCACATTAATGCAAGCTTCCGTTAAACATTGAATTTTAACCGTTATTTGCATACCAATTCCTCTGTTTAAAGACTACTGATTCTGTATTTGGGACCACTGCACAGATGCATTCTGCTGTTGAGTGGGGCTGTTATAGTTAGATACTGAAGCTGAAAAAAAATGACTTGACTTTTTTTTTGTTTGTTTTAATTTTTTTTTTTTTTTTTAAGTGTACATGCTACTTATGCTGAGCTGGACATACAGGAAACCATTCCATTTGGATGACTTTCTTTTATTCCAGGTCTTTTTCCTAATAGTAGTTCAAGATGCTGCTATTATAGAAGAAAATTTATAGAATGCAAGGAATGTAGCAACCTGCATATCGTGATTTCCTTCAAAAAATATTTCCTGGTTTCTAAAGTATGTGGATTTAAATTTTAAACAGAACCTGAAGGCAGTGTAACTGGTACACCACACTGTTGCTTATCCCCAATTCAGTAGGATTTGGATAGGTGGCCGGATGGACCAGTGCCATTGAAGAATGTACATCAGGGATCATCGTACCTCGGCTATTACATGGTGCCTTAAAACAGAACTGAAGTTTAGTAAGGCTTATTTTGTTCATGTGAATTCTCTTCAATCCATTTGACAAGGTGTACCTGTCACGTTCAGATTCCCGGAGTGAGGACAGGTCACGTGTTCTTCAAAGGAAATTTAGGGCAAGCAGAGCAAAACAAAAAGAGGAAAAAAAAGAAAGAAAAGAAAAAAAATCAATTCCCCTCTCCGAGTGACCACGAACGGACTTTTTGTTCATAGAGCTGAATATTACTTGATTATAAATCAGATTGCTTAAGGGTGTGGAATAGCAGACTAGTTTTAATTACCAACTTGTCACATAAAATCATACATGTTTTAGGTCATTTTTATCTAGTTCTCATTGAAGAAAGTTAACAAAATAAGCAGGTACTTATCGAAGTGCATCTTTTCAGTCTTAAATGTGTTTTTTTGTTTGTTTGTTTGTTTGTTTGTTTGTTTTCGTCAGTGTCTTGGTATCTCTGTGTCCACAGCGCACACAAGTGCTGGTGGGCAGGGTCAACTCAAAGTCAGGTGAGGTCCTAGACAGGATACACCCATCCCCATTTGAATTTACATGAAAAGCCAAGGTTCTTTTAAACACTCAAGTTATTAACAGCAACAACACAACAACCACAAACACCCGCACACTGATCCATTTAAGTAGTTTTTAAAAAGCTGACCAGCAAAAAGAAATGAATACATAAACACGTAAAGCCAAAAAGAAAAAAAAAGAGAGAGAGAAAGCACAAAATGATTTACAGATGATTAATGAGGCCTATATTAATCTCAAGATGTTTATCTTTCCAGTTTTATTGGGGTGGGGGTGGGGGGTTGGAAAGTAGAGGGTGAGCCAGTCTGTAAAGTTAAAAGTACCAAATGGCTTATCGGGTAGGGTGTTCTGGTTGCTCAATTGCCTTAGGCTGTTCACAAAACTAAGATCAACAAAGTTTCTTAAGTAAACTTTAAATGTTCTAGATGTAATTTTTAAATGGATTCAAATTTTGTATGACTTATCTCATATATTTGTAAGCCTTCACTGGCATTCTCCCATCACCTCATCCAAATATCATTGAAATGACGAGTCCCGTTTTCTTCCCTCCCCCGCAAAAGTGATGAATTTGCACCGTTACACACACAAAAAGGCAAACAAACAAACAAAACAACTTCACTGCAAAGACCACATATCTATTTCATTGTGCATTAGGGGACGTTTACAGGTAAAATTAAAATCACAAAATGAAAAAGGCACTCTTCGTTTCAACTCTCCTTTATGAAAAACTTTTTTGCTTTCCTCTCCCTGTCCACCAGCCTCAGAACTCCACTCTGTTGTATTGGACCAAATGTATTTGCTGGTTTCACCTTGTTTATTGAACAATTTTCAATGTATTAATTGTCACTGTTCACTGTTGGATATATTTGTATCATTAGAGGAATCTGATAACAATGGGCAAATTTAGAGTGATGAAAGGTAGGGATTGGGGACCCTCCAGGATTCAACATTTCTTCCAATTGTTCATGGTTTGTTCTCCATCAGGACAGATTAGGAATTAATAAGTAGGACTGCATTTCAGCTTGGCTCACTAGAAACCTCCAGATCTCCTTTACGAACACAGGAACATTCATCTTTGACTAGAACAGATAGTTCCAAACCAACAGACAAAAGAGCATCTGCAGTCGGAGCTATTTCCGGTGATCTGTAGTCTACAGTAAGACAAGAACACCTCTACAATCAGACACAGACATCTCAACCACTCTTGAATTTGAACTGTGAGATAGAGGAGATAATCAAACCTCCTAATTTGTACATTTGAGGCAATTGGAACAATCCCCTTTATTGCATTTATTTGATGTTTGGTTTCATTTGTTTCATCCACTGAAACTGTGACTTTTTCTAAGGAAGACGGATTCTAATACTCTCAGAGTAGATTTATTGACAAGTGACAAGTACATATGGTTAGGACTTCTTAATATTTCTTGACATTGTAACCAAACCCACTAGTCATGAAAAGTACCTGCATAGACCAAGTGCTACACTTTCAGCGTGGAAGATGTAATGAAGGCATGTTGGCTATTTTTAAGTCTCTGAAAAGATACTTCCGTAAAATAGGATTGAGTCTCGTGGGTATGGTTTGATCTTCACATACATACTTTGAGAATCGTACCCAGAAGATTTGCATTCATGAAGCCAGTGAACAATGGGGTGAAATGGGGGACCCACCTCCTTGGAACACAGGGCCCAATTTTGAAATTTTTCTTTGGCTCTCAAACGGCTGGTCACTTTTTCAGGATTCTCATCCAAACCATGTTTGGACTGACTATTTAAGTCTTACTGCCTTTTCAGAAATCTGCTTTTTTCCTTTTTGTGCTTTTTCTTGTACTGTATAGCACGGTTCACACACCTCTCTTTAGATGGTGTACTTTAAAAACAAAAGTAAATTTTAGAAAACGGTTTTAACACTGCGTACCTGAAATTAGTAGTGTGCAACACTGACTGCCTTCGATTTGTAGCAGACGAGTCAAAACGAACACGTTCTTGAGGCATCTGCTGTCAACGTCGTTCAGGAACGACCACAGTTTTCATTGCTGTCGTCATGAGCCTTTTTATGTGAGCGCGCTCCCCAGAAGTGCTGAACGTGATGCATTTTCAAATTAAAGAAAAAATTCTTCAGATGGTATATTTGAAATGTCTAAAATGATGCTGTGCTTGAAACATTAGTGAAAAAGGAAAAAAAAAATGTGTGCCACTGTGATGTTGGTCCTCCCCGTGTGGACTCAAGTAGAAAGTTAAAAAAAAAAAAAAAAGCTCTGGCAAGTCACCTTTCTGTACAATTTGAGGCAGTGGTTATAGACAACAAATTGACCTTTGGTAGAACCTTCCCTCCCCCAAATTCCTGGTGAGAAAACACCAACTATCAAAACAGGGAAATCAGGACAAATCAGAACTTCTGATTTCGATGGAGAGCACGGGAACACGGGGGAGACGCGTGGACATGCAGTGCTGTGGAAATTGGGCTTGTCACTAGATCAGATCAACCTCCATGTATATGGTTAGAACAAATCAATGAATGGAATCCTAGTATTTCTGCAAGTTTGGTGATTTTAAAACAAAACAAAACAAAACAAAACAAAAAAAATACAAAAAACTGGAATAGAAGCATTATTCCAGTGCTTAGTTCTAGTATTAGAAAACCCCTTTGATGTAATGCCTTGTATTAACCCTTTGAGCATTGTAAGATATACAATGGGGGACAAAAGCCTTTCAGATCATTTATTTAGACTTAGACCGGTAAAATATACTCTATATCCAAATGTCTAATTATGCTGTTTTTTTAAAAGGGTGGGGGGGTAGGAAGAGAAAGTGTTTCCATGTTGAACACTTGCATTTTATATACAACTCTTAATTTTCTTCTTCAAGAGGGCTTGATATATTTATTCCCAAATATTCACTGCCATCTAAGTAAGTGTACTGTTTACAGAAAAAAATCAACTTTTCTAGCATCACATCATGACTCTAGAAAAGGAGGACAGATACATGGGCCTGTTGACCTATGTCGAAACTGATCTCTGCACATTGAAAAGTACCTAGATTGCCTTTAAAAGGTATGATAAAGAAAGGGTTACATTTCTTTCTCTTTCTTTTTTTAATTTTTATTTTTTTTTGTCCTTTCCCCAAAACAAAACAAAAGATCTCTTTTATTTAGCTTTAGAAAGTACAGTTGTAAGCGAAGCCTTAGGAAGAAATGAGTTCGAGTGGATAAAGAAAAGTTGAACTCTTTGGGGGCAGGGAAGCTATGTGGAGTTTGATCGCTCACAAAACAATATTGTTTGGGAATTTCAGACAGGGCATAATTTTACCTATGCTCCAAAACTTTATGTCACAGTTTATCAAAAACTCAGACGTAGGTAGAACAGAGAGCAAAGCATTTCATTCTCAGCTCATCTGTCCGGAGATGCCATGACGACTGCTTCTGATATGGGCAAATGCCAGTCCGCTTACACAGTTGCCGACTTGGTTCAAGGGACGCTCTGCGTGCCTTTGTCC